TGAGCAGAAGGTAACTGAAAGCAAAGCCTATGGCATTTGGGACATTTAAAGAAGACCCTTTCCATCAGATCTGGAATCTCCCCACCCCTGCCAAAGAGTAAAGCCCCAGAGTAAAGGCAAACCAAAGGGAACTTGTCACTACCTGACCCTCCAAAGGGGACTGTGGGGAGTGTTGCCTTGGAGCTGAACAAAATGGGTTGAGGGGGTGGCTTGGGTTGGGATGAAAGAAAATTCTTCAAGAGGCTGTAAACTTTGGAAGACACTTCCTGAAAATTTGGTCTCAAGCAACTTAGTTTAAGGAGATTCTAAATAAGTTATACTTTCAAGCTTTAGTGGAAGCAAACTGAAATCCTCCTTCAAATACAGTTTCATGCCAAGACATGGGAAATCCCAACAAATAATTTTTTAAAGGCCATGAGAAGCTATGCTATCAAACATAATGAACAAAAAGAAATAAAGGAACAAGAAAAACACCATCAAAAACAATAACAGAGACCTAAAAAGTCTTCACCTACTGAAAACATCACCGATTATAAATGAACACGCTTACTTTATTCTTAAAGGAATAAAGAGGATAGCTGTAGTATGAACAAAAGATAATAGAATATGATTCACATATTTATACTAATACATTTGGAAATTTAGATAAAATAAACAACTTTTGGGAAAAAACATTAAAATTGACTTAAGGAAAATAGACAACTTGGGCAAAACTATAACCATTAAATAGAATCATAGCCAAAAATACTATACAAAACAAAACAAAATTCTTTCTCCTGTCCTCCTTCTCTCCCTCTCACTCCTCCCCCAAACCCTCTGTCTTTTCAAGTCCAGAAGGCTTCCATGGTCGTTTAATATAACAGGACTCAAACCCATAGACTGCAGAGTAGCCAACTACCAATCATTCTAGGAAAAAATATTCCAATTTTATACAAACACTTCCAGAGCATTAAAAGAGAAAGAAAAAGAAAACATGTGAGAAGCAAACAACTTAATTCATATTATGAAGCCAACATAACCTTGATAGTAAAATCTCATGAGGACAGTAAAAGAAACTTATGAGTAAATTTCTCCCATAAATATAAATTAAAAACCTACACAAATTATTAATAAACCAAACTCAAAAATGTAAGGACACTTCATCATGACCAAGTTGGGTTTGCCCTAGAAATACAAGGTTGCTCTAATTATACAATATAATAATAATGACACAAAGGGATGGAAATGAGACCATATATATGCCTATACCTGTATTTGCTAAAAGAAGCACTTGAAAGATAAAGCAAAAAATTTTAATGCAAGTGGGAAACCAGGTGAAAGGGGCAAAGGTGAAAGATAGGCTTTTGAGACATGTAAATATATCACTGATTTTTAAATTTAATAGTAAATCAGTTAATGTAATTAATCACATTAACATAGTAAGTGTAAAATCACATGTATACCCTAATAGATACAGAAAAAGTATTTGATAAAACTTAGAGTCCATTCAGTATTAAAGAAAACTCTTTAATAAATTAGGATAGAAGGGAGATTTCTTAATCTGATAAAATATATATGTAAACAAAAAAACAAACTACTATCACATTATTTGTGAAATGTTGTAAATCATCCCTCAATTAGGAACAAAGCCAGAATAACCACTATCACTTATATTAAACATTATACTTCAGGTCTTATCCGAGGCAGTAAGGCAAGAAAAACAACAACAGGTATAAGGATTAAAAAGAAACAAAAACTGTCCCTCTTTGCAAATAACATTATCATCTAGGTAGAATGAACCTATAGATTAATTACTATAATATGTAAAGGAATTTAAGAAGATACCTTAATATAAAAATCCATATGTAAAAGTTAATCATACTCCTATATACAAACAATTAGAAAACAAAAATTAAAAACATTTTTTACAATACTGTAAAATTGTAAGTAACCAGGAATATTTTTCACAATGACGTAAAAGATCTTTCAGAAAAAAATTATAAAACTTTATTGTAAGGCAATAAAAACACCTAAATAAATAGATTAGAAAACTTCTTGTTGTTATGATATTAATTCTTCATGTATTTGGTTTATAAATTAAATACGATACAGAAAACATCCTGCAGGCTTATTTTATATAACTTTATAGTATGAGTCTAAGAAATGTAAATGGCCAGACTGGATAAGACACTCTCCAAGAAGAACAAAGTGGAAGAACTTGCTCTACCACATATTAACACATGTTTCAAAGTGATAATAACTGAGAAAACTTGTTGTTCACACACCGACATACTAATAGATCAATAGTACAGAATAAAAAGGCCAAGAAACACATTCACACACATTTGGGCACTTTATAAATGACAAGTGGCATAGCAGATCAGTGTAGAAAGGATAGGTTTTTCAATAAATACTGCTAGAGCAGCTGGCTATCTGTATGTGGGAGAGGAGAATGAAATTGAGCCCCTACCTCCACTACACAAAAATCAATACTAAGTTGAACAAAGCACAAAAAGCACTAACAATAAAGAAAATTATTGATGAAAATTCTATTACATTAAAATAAAGAACTTCATTCAAGGCACAAAATTTTAAAAAGAAAAAGAGAAAACAGAGTATATAAGAAGATACTTGCAACCCATATATATAAACAACAAAGGAGTAAGAAATAAATATGTAAAACTTCTATAAATTAATGAGAAAAAGATAGATAAACCAATAGAAAGGACCTGAATGGGCACTTCAAAAGAAGAAATACAAGATATTCAGTCATCAGTGATCAGAGGAATGCAAATTTAAACCACAAGAAGATATTACATATCCACAAGATTGACAAAAATTAAAAATTCTGTAATAGCAACTGTTCCTGAGGATACAGAGCAAGATCTCTCAAGCACTCTTCATGGCAATGCAAATTGGTACAACCACTTTGGAAACTATTTGGCAGCATCTAGTAATGTTAAAGACTAGAGGCCCGGTGCATGTATTCGTGCACCAGTGGGGTCCCTTGTCCTGGCCTGCAGGGATCGGGCCGAAACCAGCAGCCTAGCATCCTCTGAAGGGTCCCGGATTGCAAGAGGGCACAGGCAGGCCGAGGGATCCCCCCATCAGTCTGTTCCATGTTTTCATGTCTATGCATTGAGTGTTTGCCCCCTGGTGGTCAGTGTGTGTCATAGCTACCGGTCTAACAGTCACTTAGGCTTTTATATATATAGATATTCATAGTCTATGCCCCAGCAATCACAGTCTTAGGTTTATATTTCACTTAAATGTATGCAGATGTGTGCTGGGAGACATGAACAAGATTGTTTATACCAATATTTATGATGGCCAGAAGCTCCAGAATTTGGAAATTAAATGTTCATTGTAATTATTTTTAAAATACATTTTTATTGATTTCTGAGAGGAAGGGAGAGGGAGAGAGAGAGAGATAGAAACATCAACGATGAGAGATGCTCACCCCACAATGGGGATCCACCCCCACCACCCGGGCATGTGCCCTGACTGGGAATCCAACCGTGACCTCCTGGTTCATAGGTTGATGCTCAACCACTGAGCCATGCCAGCTGGGCTCAAATGTTTATTATTGACAGAATAGGTAAGTTGTGGCATATCCATAAAATGAAATTATATACGACACTGAAAATGAACAAATCACAGCCACCTGCTAGATGAATCTTAAACACAATGACATATTATACCAACTGTGCCAAGTTAAGTAAGTTCAGGAATGCATACATATGTGGTAAAAGTATAAAAAATAAGCAAGGAAATTATCACTGTAAAAGTCAGGATAATGGTTACTAAGTGGGAAATGGTTATAACTGGAAAAGGGCACAGGGCTTTAACACTACAGGGCTTTAACACTGCTAATATTCTATCTTAATCACTTTAACATTACTTGACAGACTGTGCATATATTTTTACACATTTTGAGTGTGTATTTTCCATTAAAAAAAAAGGAAAATTTTAATGCAAGGATTTTCATTATAGAGTATGTATCTCAGTGCCAGCAATGTGACTTATGGAATTAAAAGTCATCAAAGATGACAACATTCACTAATGAACTGATCACTTAATAAACTGATCACTCCAGCCCTGGCAGAGTAGCTCAGTTGGTCAGTGTGTCGCTGGATACATCATGGTTTTGAGTTCCATCTCCAGTTAGGGCACATACATCAACCAATGAGTGGGTGAATAAGTGGAACAACAAATTGATGTTTCTCTCCCCCCTCCCTTCTTCTGTCTCTCTCTCAAATCAATCAATCAATCAATCAGTCAATCAATAAACTGATCACTCCATTCAAACATTCCTCCCTGGTTAATGCCCGTAGTTTCATCGATTGTATACATCACACTATAAATAAAAGGAAAGTCATTTGCAAATTCATTCATTCAACAAATATTTAGTAATGTCCACTACTTTCCAAACACTATTCTAGGGGATCAGCAAGGCCTTCTTACAAAAGATGGAGGACTGAAGACCCCCCCATTCCCATCCCAATGTTGCCTCCACCCTTTCATCCTCTCTTCCAAACAAGTATCAAACATGAAGAACCTAAAAGGAACTCAGGGCACACACGAAGTGATTATCAAAACCCCAACCCTGGGCGGTGTGGACACTACTTGCTAGGATTCATTTGGCAAAACTCAAGAGCCCTAAGTCAAGGCACCCATCTCAACAAGGGTGATGCTGCGGGAACAGGCTTAAGTGGGGTCCAATCTCCCCAAGACGTGCTTTTTATCTGGGATCCGGAGGCCAGAGCCTTCCAATCTTCCAGAAACTGTCTACTAGATGTTGTGAGGACATGCGTTTCTCTCGGGTCGGAGTCCAGAACTTTCACCTGATTCCCTATGGAGTTCCACCCAAAGGGTGACTGAGCTCCCAACTGCTCCCAACAAGCGGAAGAGACAACGTTGCAGGGACGTGATCAAAGCGAATGTGGCCTCAGCGACACCACCTGCGTTGAAACCCAGGCGCCCTGACCTCTCGGCCTCCGCCCTGAAGACCCAATACTTACTCGTAGCTCTTCGAAGGCTTCGTCCAGGGTGGAGAGCTGGTGGCCCTGGTGGGCCCCGATGACCGGACACAGGACACAGATGAGCTGCTTATCTTCCTGGCAGTAGGTGCTCAAGTCGAGCCCGTGGTCCGGGCACCTCCTCTGGGCCACTCTCTCCGCCTCCATTTCTATCTCTGGGTCAAATTCGCTCTCTGCCTCAGTTTCCCCCTCCGCCTCCGACTCTCCATCTTCGTGGTTGTCTTCCTCCGCCTCGCTCTCTTGCTCGTCCTCCATGTCTTCCTCACTGTCGCCCTCGCTCTCTTCCTCGCTCTCCTCCTCCGTCTCGCTCTCTTCTTCCGAGTCACTGATTTCCCGGGACTCGCTCTCCTCCCCCGCCTCGCTCTCTAGGTCGCCTGCCTCCTCCACCTGGGCCTGCGCCCCGGCCTGCCCCGCGCCTTCCCC